AAGTCTCCGTTCCTTTCACGTGATTATTTAACTACATACCTGGTTTTCTTTCCATACTCGGAATAGCTTGGTCTGATTTTTTAACTTGCTAAGTTAGGCCCGTATCTCAACCAACCCAACTGATGAAAGTCTCTGTTCCTTTCACGTGATTATTTAACTACATACCTGGTTTTCTTTCCATACTCGGAATAGCTTGGTCTGATTTTTTAACTTGCTAAGTTAGGCCCGTACAGTTGGGTTGGTTGAGAATGAAAGTCTCTGTTCCTTTCACGTGATTATTTAACTATATAACCTGGTTTTCTTTCCATACTCGACATAGTTTGATCTGATTTTTTAGCTTGCTAAGTCACGCCTGTATTTCAACCAATCCAATTGATGAATGTCTCTATGCCTTTCACGTGATTCCTCAGTTACATAACCAGAGTTTCTTTCTTCGATGCCTAAGATTCCTAATTTGATTAATTTTTTGCGCATATATCTAATATGATGTTAGCCGTCCCTAACTGTGAGGCGATAGACTAGAGGGAAAACAGCTAGTTAACAACACGCACCGTTAACTCTTATTACTCTTGTCTGACCGAATATTGCGATTTGACCGTCACTCTTATATCGCATCTACGGCCCCAAAATACTGAGCACGTTTTTGCGGCAACGGAATGCAACTAAAAAAAAAAAACAACCTCGGATTCAAAGCCTATGCTTGCTAACCGTTAGGGCAAAATCCTCCTAGTGATTTCCAATTTCCAATTTGAAAAGTTTTATTATAATAACTCGAGGTTGAAACCAAATAGTTCTACGTAATGAGCCCAAATGGTTTGTGAAACATCTTTAGGATTTCATGTTACCAAGCTTAAAAAGTTGGAAAAAAAGTCGTAGTTTTGGAACTAAGTCGTATATTTTACTAAGATCATAACGGGTAGAGACACTAGTTCTACTGGAGTATTAAATTTTGGGTTTTACTTTCGTGACTTTTTTTAAGGTCAAATATATTTCACAAAATTTAGACTATTTATATTATAACCGTATTTTACTTGTGAATTATAACCGTATTTTACTTGTATATTATAGCCGTATTTTACTTGTGTATTGGAACCGTATTTTACTTGTGTATTATAACGGTATTTTACTTGTGTATTAAAACCGTATTTTACTTGTATATTATAACCATATTTTACTTTGAATAATAGCCGTATTTTATTTGTATATTATAACTGTATTTTACTTGTGGATTATAACCGTATTTTACTTGTGTATTATAAACGTATTTTACTTGTGTATTAGAACCGTATTTTACTTGTTTTCATGCTGTAGTGGAAAATAGCCTGGTTTCAAAACCTACAAGGCCCAAAGCCGTTCTAGCTATCGTACCTTGTAAAAAAACTAGCAAGTACAGTCGTCTATTTCGCCGAGCTGACGTACCTGCTGTGTTTCTACATTTCTGCCCATGTTTGTGTAAATCAACGATAGGAATTGTTAAACACATTCAAGTTGGGAATATGGAGGTGAGGTTACTTTATGTAAAAATCTCTAAACCAAAAAAAATAACATACAGAGTTCAAAAACACACACACGCATATATATATATATATATATATACATGTACGTAAGAAGTTAAAAAAACCTATATAACGTTGCAGCTAGAAACTGAGAGAAAAAGTTGATTCTAAATTTTGGGTAGATCAAAAGAGAGACGAAACAGCTAATAAAACAAATGAAACGTAACGGTAGATAGACAGATAGGTTCTTTAAATTTAAAATTTGATCGACTAGAAGCTAATACGCAATATGAAGATGGATAAGATGTGTACCGTCAGATAACATCAAAGATAACTGGGTCACTTTTAAGTAACTTCAACCTGCTTTCTCACTGTAATTTCCAGGTACACCGTCGACATCCTTGTCTCGTGTCTTCGCTTCTTGATTGGATAACGAAAGCCTTGCGTGAAGAAAACCCAGTGAAGTCGAGCGAGGTAAAGAGAAATTTATGATAAATGAGAAAATGAGTTCAACTGATGGTGCTTGATTATATAAATAATGGATATAAATGGCTGGTCTCTCTAGTCGCATGTATAATTAGTATGATTAGGTGGTATGTAAACACGTATATAAAATATATTGATTTTCAGCAACGCTCCAAGACCATGCAGTTAAGGCAGGGGTTCCCATACGTTTGTAGCTTGAGGTCTCCCAAGACCTTAGTCACCCTGGCTGAGGACTCTACGAAATGATGTAATAGAGTACCTTACTTTCACTACATTTTGTTTTTTTCAACAACAAAAAAAACCCTTAATAATATACAACATTCTGTTGTCATATTTGTTGCAATAAATTATATTCTCGCTGAAAATATTGCTTTGTCCGATGTCAGGGAAATTTTGAAGAGATTATTTATACATGTGCTAAAGCTCCCCCACCCTCTCGAGGCCGTCTCGCGAACTTCAGACTAAGAACCATCCACTAATTTGAGGTGCAAACTTGCTGCTTTTCATACGTGATTTCGCCAATCTGTAGTTGGTTTAATGTATTCTATGTATGCACGTGTTAACGATTAGTTCTTTGCCCATAAACTAAATGAAGTTACGTTTTCTCGGACGTCTACGGTCTAATCTCCCATTATATGCTACCATAAAGTTGTTGATGTGTGCTACAAATTGGGTTTGCTGGCTGATGCCAGCTATTGACAAAGTGAAACATTACAAACTATATCGTTGACGCTTTAAAGAATAAAGATACATTAAGTTCAGTATAAAGATAACATTTTAGTCACGTTCTATTACCCCTTGAAGGCATTTTCAAGTATTACTAGAAAAAAAAACCACTCGAAGCTGTAGCTTTGGTATATTTTATTCGTATAAGAAGTAATGGATATCTTTATAAACTTTTGGTTTGACCTAAAAAAAAACAAGGCTTGTGTCAATCAGGTAGATGCTATTTACTTAAAAACAACAAAAAACATGAGTCAAAGTCAGTGTTATAGACTTGAATCTGCGTGAGTGAAAAGATGACTTAACTCGATCAAGTCAATGTTATTTTACGTATAAATGATAAAAAATACGCTAGTGCACATAACCATAAGAACAAGCTGACAAGAAACAGGTCAGTGTTATAGAAATGTAACAAGCAAGCTGTATGAATTAGATCAACGTATCTCGTTGAGCGTAAAGATTATTTTTTAAAATTATTATTGAAATATTTAATCTATTTAGTCAAATTGATATTGTTATAAACAGACTATTGTGTTATACGTGAAATATGTCATAAAATTTATGCCCCTTTATCCAATGCTTTATAAAAGTGGTTTTTGAATGAAATGATATTTTGTCATGATTAGTAAAGTCATATGGAATTACAATATCGCAATTTATCGATGGGTAATCAACAATAAGCAAAAAGGTAAGTAGATAGGAAAAAGTAATGCGAGTATTCAATTTCTCAGCACTGTTCTCAGGATCGTTAGTATGTAATGAATAGAAAAATAACAAAAGCATTAAATCGTTAAGAAATGTTCGATCTAATATTCTGTTTCATTCAGCAAAGCGATGATTCTTGCCCTCACGTTAAAGACAACTGTGACGATATGAAGTCGATAAGGATCGACTCCAACTTATGCCAAGACTTTAGTTCCATCTGCACTTACTTTCTACAAGGAAAACAACTTTCAGTTGTGACGATTGAGGTGGGTTGAACAAATTGTTAACAAAACTATAGTGACGATTGAGATGGGTTGAACAAATTGTTAACAAAACTATAGTGACGATTGATGTAGGTTGAACAAATTGTTAACAAAACTATAGTGACGATTGAGGCCCATGGGTTGAACAAATTGTTAACAAAACTATAGTAACGATTGAGGTGGCTTGAACACCTTACACAGGCCTGTGAATTTAAAGTTCATAAAAGTTATTTTAGTTTTAATTACGAATTTTCCATAATTCCGCTACGCATATTTTGAAAATAATATTAATTTTTTTTTCTATAACGTAAGGATTTTTTACAAATCGGGAAGAAAAGTACTCTTACTTAGATCAAATTATTATTTCGTTTACCACAATGAACATTTTTTATTATTATGTTTGTTATGTTTGGGTTCTAGAACCATCGATAAGACTCTCACGTCGCGATTGATCTAGAGAAATATATAGCCAGATGTTGTCAACATTTCAAGCATAACAAAATGGGACCCGATTTCAATAAAAATGATTCACTTATGTAGAAGTACATATGACGTTTTGTGAAAGTCTATACGTGATGGAGAAACATAGATATCATTTTCAGATTCAGAGTACAGGAATTACCGTAGAACATGTAAAAATGTCAAGACAATAAAACCGTCGCAGGCCTGTGTTATTAACAAAACTTGTGTATTATATACAGTACATTAATCCATCTTTTTTTTCAGAATATTCTCACTAGAATCTATAGTGACAAGCTTTTCACATTCTTAATGTTGTGATTGATTCAAACTTATTGAAAATAATACAACTGTTGACTCCTTACTCTCAAACGTCACAAATGACAGTTTTCAGCCTGTGAGTTGCTGATATTAAATACATTTATAAAGGCTCTGGGCGTTTTTGTTCTGTAAGCGATTCTTTTACAGTTTAACTATAATTTCAGAGACCTCCATTCATGATTTTTGAAAGAGACAAAATCAGCGGAGAGAGGATTGGATCAAGTGGGATTTTGACTGAGGTTTTGAATGTTTTTAAACAAGCTTACGGTTTTAGGTAAGTGTAGTTGATAATTACAACATAACGTTAATATACATACGTTTGTATTGAAAACACTTTAAAACGTTTAAATGACACTTCTTTTACGTGTATCACCAAACGTTTTTGATAACTTACGTGTCCGCTACTTTTTACGTATTTAATAAATAAAGAAAAGAAACACGAAAGAAAGAGATTAAATCAAGACCAGACAAATTCTGTTTAAAATAAATGATTCTCGTTAGCTTTTCCCGAAGAAAAAATATTAACGTTTTTAACTGTTGAAGACATGGTTTATTGTTAAACAACATAATAATTAGCATTAGGTAACAATATTTATTGAGTAATAAGCTGAGAACGACGGTTACCATTCACATTTCAGTTTCTCAGTTCAGCTGTATGGCTGACTGACACTTTAATGCTTTTTGTGCAACTTTAAACATTTAATAAAATGAACGATGTATGTTTTGTACACATTTTCTTATTGGAAGTTTCGCGAACAATTCCTAAAGGAATTTTGACATATCAAAATATTGTTTGCTGACAAAAGCACCTGAAATTGATTTGTATGATAACATCGGGTGTATTGGATAGAAATACGCTGATAGCTATATGTACGTAAAATGTGATTTTCTATCATAATTGGTTTTTAGCTACAGACTTCTAGAGCCATATGATGGTCAATGGGGGAAAGAACTTGACAATGGAACTTGGAATGGCATGATAGGCATGGTTATCAGAAAGGTAAGTTGCAACAAACGACTTCCCAAACATCGCATGTGTGTATTAATAACATTACTAATACTAAGCACTTTACTATAAGCATCTTCATTAAAAACCCTAGTCAACGTTTTTAGTCGATCCTACTAAGCACTTTACTATAAGCATCTTCATTAAAAACCCTAGTTAACGTTTTTAGTCGATCCTACTAAGCACTTTACTATAAGTATCTGTTTTTAGTCGATCCCTGTTAATTTCTTATATTATCGGATCTGTAAAGTATATGCACAAAAAACACTCATTTCTCTTTGTTTCTCTGTTCAGCAACTTTTTGTTTTATCACACCAATGTTTTCAGTTCTTCTTACTTGTTTTTTTTACTAGTTTTATTATATATTTCTTATTACCGCCTCTCTCTATCTTATCACATATCTGTTTCCATTATAGTTTCATTAGTTATCGGCCTCTGCTGTACTTTTATCACTTTCTTTCTATTATACTTTCATTATATATCGGTTTCTACTATTGATTTTGATTATTACTCCTCAGTTCAGCTATAGGTTGCTAGTGAATTAGGTTTTGTCTGGAACATTAAATACAAATAGCTACATAGATGTACGTATTTTAGGAGTTTCTATCATAATTCATTTACTGTTTATTGTTTATTTGTAACTAAGCACAAAGCTACACAATGGGCTATCTGTGCTCTCTCCACCACGGGGATCGAAACCCGGATTCTAGCGTTGTAAGTCCGCAGACATACCGCTGAGCCACTGGGGAGAGGGAGCCTCATTTACAACTGCACACTTTTCGAAACCTACGACGGTATACTGTACTTTCATTACATATCGGTTTCTACTATACTTTCGTTACATTTCGGATTCCACTAAACATTCACTACATATCGGTTTCCACTATACTTTCATTACATATCGGTTTCTACGTTAATCACATATCGGTTTCCACTATACTTTCATTACATATCGATTTCTAATGTATGTTTATCAAATAACGATTTCCACTATACTTTCTTATCATCATTGTTTGTTTTTTTACACTTGAATATTTAATGGTTTCTATAACACTTTATCAGGTATAGGTTTCTACTATCAAATGTCAATTTCTATTACAATTTTGTTACTATTAATCCTATTGCAGTTTTATTACGTACTGATTTCTATTACAATTTTCTTACTATTAGTTCTATTGCAGCTTTATTACGTACTGATTTATATTATTTTATCAGTACTGGTTTCTATAGTGTTATTTTATTGGCTTCCATTACACTTTTATCACAGTTTGATCACATACTGATTTTTATTACAGTTTTATCAAACACCAGTTTTTATTTACACTTTTATTATATACCAGTTTCTATTACTGATTCATTCTGACAATTTACCACGCACTGGTTTCTACTCAATATTAAAACTGCATTTTCTATTACACTTTTTAATATTTACCGGTTTCTATAGTGCTCTATTTTTAGTTTCCATTAGACTTCTATCGCCATCGGTTTCCAGTACATTTTTATCACCACTGGTTTCTATTACATTTTTATTCAATACTTTCTATAAAGTTTTATTCCGTATCGGTTCTTATTGTCACATATGAGTTTATATTACATTTATCACTATTGGTTTCTATTAAAATTTTATCGCGTACTGGTTTCTAATACAATTTTATCACCGCTGACTTCTTTTAGTCCCACAGCGGTACAGCGGTATGTCTACGGACTTACAACGCTAGAAAACGGGTTTCGATACCCGTGGTGGGTAAAGCACAGATACCCCATTGTGCAGCTTTGTGCTTAATTGCCAATAAACAAATGTTATCTTACCATTTTAGTAAACATCTGTTTGTCCTGTATTCTGGTAAAGCTAAGTAATTTCCCTACCATTATTTCTTTTGTCTGCTTACCATTGAATGATTTGTCCCACCAATTTAATAGATACAAGTTTCTTCTGTATCGTTAAATCGCTTTTCTTGCATATTTTTGTCTTTTTTAACAGTCTTTCACTCCGTTTTATCAACACCACTACCTTCTTACTTTTTTTTGCACTCAGGTTTTTTCTCCTTTTCTTTCTTCTCACTTTTAATACAAACTCCATCTATCTCTTTGTCACAATTTTCAAAACATTTTTTGATCACACATTACAATCTTGCTATGATATTCATTACGTTGTGCTCCTACTGTCTTCGTTCCTTTTCATCGCTCTCTTTAAATTAGGCCCTCCAGTGGCATAGCGGTATGTCTGCGGACTTACAACGCTAGAAACCGGGTTTCGATACCCGTGGTGGGTAGAGCATAGATAGACCATTGTGAAGCTTTGTGCTTAACTACAAACAAACAAATATTATGCAGTCAGTCTCATCAATGGCCAGGTGGTTAGGGTACTCGACTCGCAATCTGCGGGTGGCGGGTTCGAATCCCCGTCACACCAAACATGCTCGCCCTTTCATCCGTGGGAGCGTTATAATGTGACGGTCAATCCCACTATTCGTTGGTAAAATAGTAGCCCAAGAGCTGGCGGTGGGTGGTGATGACTAGCTGCCTTCCCTCTAGTATTACACTGCTAAATTAGGGACGGCTAGCGCAGATAGCCTTTGCGCGAAATTCAAAACAAACAAACAAACTCTTTAAATTACTTCTTTTTGTAATAAACTAAATTTTTTCATCGTTTTGTTTTACACTTTTTTTTCTACCATTTATGAAGAAAATAAAGGTTCATCGTTCACCAATTTCTCTAATTTAATTTCTTTACTACACATTAATTATTCTACTACTTTTCTATCAGTCACATATTTCTTCGAGGTTTTTTTTTCCATCCTACACTTTTGTTGATATCATGTGTTATTTTGTCGTGTTTCTATTTCATAAATTAATATTTTCTATTTTTTCCCTACATATAACACGCTTGATTGTTTTAGTTTTCGTCCTGACCTGTTTCTAACGTGTTTTTTATTACACTGCTCCTTATCAGTTCATTTTATTTCACGTAGGTAGCTAATATGAAATTCAGCTAGTATTTTGTCAGGAGATTGCATTGCTTAGTTCAAGATTTACGATTTTCCTGCAAGTAAGCTTAATTGGATTTCCTGTGTTTTATTAGGAAGTAGACTTAGCAGCCTCCTCAATAACCATGACCGACAAACGTGAAGCTGTGATTGATTTTACCATACCTTTCTTTCAAGAGTCATCTACCATCCTATTGCCTCGAATGCGTCAACAGTCGGATATTTTCAGTTTTGTTGCTCCCCTGGAGTGGGAGGTTGGTGCTTTTTTTTTCATCTAAAACCTTAGAAGAAATATTTTTACATAACAAATAAATGGGGCGTTTATGGGAACAGATTATAAGACTCCCATGAACATGAAATAATCTAATTTCCATAACAATAGAATTTAACATTCTAAAGACAATAATCGCTCAGATCTTCTTAAACTATATTATAGCGGTACCTTGTGAAACTGCAATGTACCTTTTACGTGTACAGAGAGGTCTAATAATTATAGTCTAAAGAGTTGTATCTCAACTAGTTATGTATGCATGTATGTATGGAGAAAGAAACATGCATTTTCTCTTGTGTAAAGCAAGGGCTAGGTTGAATATTAAGTTGTACTGTGTTAAACGCAAAGTAAAATACGTTGAAATATGCATTTTGAATATATAAAGTAAGATTGTTTAATGAAGAACGTCCGTGATTAAATGTCATTTTCTCAGTTATGACTCACAAAGTTTAAAATAAGATGTTTTAATGAAGAACGTCCGTGATTAAATGTCATTTTCTCAGTTATGACTCACAAAGTTTTTGGGAAAGGTTTCTTTCACAACGTACACGCGATGTCATCTGTACAAACCTAAACAACTTCGGCTTTTTAAATACATTTCTCTAAACTACTTATCCGCCAAACTGCTTATAAGTCCACGACTTTGTTGGTCATAGGTTCTCTAGTAACACATCGTACATAAATAAGACTTACGCATGTAATTATCCAAAAATCTACTGAATCAAGTTTTTTTTTTTCAAGATGAATAAGCGTATGCTAACGTTCCCCCAATTGGACAGCAGTAAGTTTACGGACTTACAAATCCGGGGTTCGATTCCCCGCGGTTGACACAGTAGAAAGCCCATTGTGGTTTTGCTCTAAGATAAACAAGCCTATGCTAAAATAACCTATAAAATATATATGCCTCAAATCTATTGTACTGTATTTATATAAATAAATCGATAGTTCTAATATATTAATTGTAAATAGGGGATTTTTTAAGCAGCACTATAAAACAATAATGATGAAATTAATATATATGTGAGAGTATCTTTGTCTTTTTGTACAAATTATAAAAGGGTTGAGTTTGGGAGTTTTACATTGTAGAAATATAGGGTGGTTTATTTATACTTTAAGGTTGCATCTAAAAATTAAGGATAACTGCCTTCCCACACTCGGTTTCAGACAGCGAAAGGCAATAGGAGTTGAGACGTTGTGGTTCAATCACTCAACTCGTAATCCTTAACTGATTTTCTATAGTTTCACACAGACGTTATATGTTATGAGTGTTTATGATGACAACAAAGAGTGGTAATGGAAAAATTAATTTTGATTTTTTTGAGTCTCTTTGTAATGTTTTTGATTTATATATTGTTTAATAGTTGGTTTTCTTAAGAACATTTTCATGCTCAATATTTTACACTCAAACAACAGATTGTTATACAAAAATAAATTAATCAAAATAATGAAAACCGCTTGTTTTGTCGTTTTTGTTCACTTTCAAGTAATTCTTTTGTTCAACACTAAACATGTTGGAAACCTGATATTATTTAATCACGGAAAAGCCATAACCGGAGCTCCTAATATCCAATGAACTAATCAATAACAAACTGGTTATTACGAAGAAATGCAGCGAAAAATACTGTATATTGTTGACTATTACATATATATATACTAGCTGGACTACCCGTCATATGACGATAAATGCTGATTACATATTCTTCTGAAAGTTAAATCTAAATAAATGTTTTATGGATATGCTTTCTACAAACTAATTATATTGCCGTAATAATATACTTATGGAGAATGTCTATCCTTTTTCTAGTGTTTCACGAAAACAACACATTTTGTGTATATTTGGTCATTTCCTGTAAATTATAATTTTGCTGTTTATTTTTATGTTATATTCAAATGTTATTCTTGATAAAGCCTTATAGATTGAACCATGCGAAAAAATCTGGTTCTCGAAAAAATATTCCTACATCATCAAATGTCTGACCCTTCGATTTATTAATTGCGATGGCAAAGGCAATGAATTTTATGGTGAAGAACAGATTCACGAAGGTATAACTTTTCATTCAAAATGCCAAAAAAAAATAGCTGCCTAAATTTAAAAAATCTCTTACAGAAGGGGAAAACATCAATAATAATGTATTATATCGCCATCTATTGCGTTGAAAAGATATTTAAGTTGTTTTTGACACATACAGCCACTCGTGTCTATTATGTAACATGATTTTATTTAATCCATAACTGTATTCGTATTTTTCCGAATATTCAAAGACATTTTTATAAATATCATCATAAATATATAAAAAATTAACATAATAATTAAAATAAAATCCCTACCTGACTTGAACTCAAGACTTCCACATGAGAGTCCAGCTCTATAATTACTGTAACACAAAGTCTTTGTAATCGGATCCTAACAAATGATTCAAGTACTTAATGTAAGGTATCGTGTCATTGTTTATTCTTAATATTGCAATGTTTTTCTCTAAACATGACGATCTAACAACTAGTAAAGTTATAAAAATCCCACTCGGCTGGTATTTGAACTCAAGATTTCCGCTTGAGAAAAACCACTGAGCCAGTTTGAACGCTACCAACAGAAAGTCGAACGTTACCGACAAAGGGAGCGTTCAGAACAGAAAGTGGCTTATATATAGAGAGAGAGAGGGGGAGAGAGAAATACAGACTAGAAATGAAAGTAATTCTAAAATTTTCATGGCATATCGTCCAGAGCTTACTAACATTTGTTTAAAGGCTTTATTCAATTTAAAATACTAGCATCTATTACATGCATCCACCTAGGGTGCTGAAGAATATACAGCTCTGCATGTATTCTTAAATTAAATTTGATTAGCACCTGCTGACTTAGATTTTACTAAGAGAAACAGAGGAAAAACCTACATAACCACGCATTAGTCAGATTTCAAAATTGTACATATAAAAGTAATGTTATGTGCAAGAATAATGGTCTTTCAACGCCCTGAAAATTATTGTGAAGTTTTGAATACTTTATACTGAATTGAGAAAAATCAAGAATACGGATTTTATTAATATATTCTTTAGAAAAATAAAATGAGTAATTTTTTTAAATATAGTTATGCCTAATTATATTTCCTAGCGTTAAAACTGGGCGTTTCCATGACATATGTAAGTGATCAACTACTTACGTTGTAATATTAGCTAGATTTTGATCGATTTAGCCGGCGTGATTAACAGAGTTGGGGTCGGTAATTAATTTTAGTTACCTTTAAGGTTAGTTTTAAATAAATTAGATTAGATTCATTATTTTCATAGAAATAGTAATCACGCTTCTTAGAGCGCTTTTACATTTCTATTCCCTCAGGGAGCGTTTAAGCAGAAAATTGTATAAGAAATAATCTGTGCAATTCAAAGTCATCTAATATACGTACTGAACATAACTATGGTTTTCTTTTAAAATACGTTTCCAACTTTGGTTGTTTTAAATTGTGATAGTAAACATATCAATACTTTAGTCCATTAATATTGATAAATCAAAATGTACTGTATCGAAATTCAATATTTAAATTGTGGTGGGCGCAGCACAGATAACCCAGATAACAGATAACGGAGCGGTGATATGGGTATATACACAAAGAATTCTACCATTATTGTATTCAGTTAGAATTATGAATTACAAGCATTATTACGTTACAGTACAACACAATCATTTTAGCTATTATTAAAAAGAGAGAAAAACATATCATCAGACACCAATCAGTTGAACGTGATTTTGCCATAAACATTGAAATTGGATTTAACAAACAATAATCACATATTTCCTAATCAGCAATATTACAGTCAGAAAAGTTATATTTTTACTGTTTTCAAGGTTTAGAACCAGTACGTGTTTAACACAATGACAACCTTCAGCCATAGCATCATTTTGTCCTGCAGATTCAGTAAAACAATTCACATCTGTTTATATCGAACAAAGAAAACGCTAAAATTGTCGTTAACTTAAATTGTATCTAAAATTGATATAATAAGGCGTTCTACTCGCAATCTGCGGGTCGCTGGTTCGGATCCCATTACCGAACATGCTCGCTCTTTCAGCTGTGGGAGCATTATAATGTGATGATCAACCCCACTATTCCTTGGTAAAATTATAGCCCAAGGGTTGGTGGTGGTTGATACTGAGTAGCTACTTTTTCTCTATTCTATCACTTCAAAATTAGGGACGGCTAGCGCAGATAACTCTCGAGTAGCTTTGCGCGAAATTCAACGAAACAAACAACCAAACAACCGATATAATATTTTCACCCCAACACATTTATATTTGGCTTCAGAATTGTAAAAACATACAATGATTTTCATGGAACAAAAAACATAATAATACAGTAAATGAACCGAGGATTGATTCCCCACCGCAGATAATCCATTTGCTTCCTGGTGGCTAACCAGCAAATATGAGAGCTTATAACGTTAAAAATCGGTTTGATATCCGTAGTGGACACTTGCACAGATAGCTCATTGTGTCGTTTTACGCTTAACAACAAATAATTATTTAAAAATCATTTATTAAATTCTAATACCTTAAAATGTCATAAAACATATAATTCATCTTCTATCTTTTACTTCCTTAAATAAGAATACTTTGTAAGAATACTCACATTTTTGAAACAAATAAGATTATTAACTTTAGCTTGTGTGTGTTACGCAGCGCTTCATATTTGCATGTTAAATATGGTTTGTTTGTTTTAAAGCTGCACAATTAGATATCTGTGCTCTACTCACCCCGGGTATCGAAACCCAATTTTTATCGTTCTAAGTCCACTGAATTACTGCTGAGCCACCTGGGGCATTAAATACAAATACATCAAACTGTTAAATAGCATTTGTAATGGTATATCAATCCAGAAGTATCGTTGATTTTACAATGCCAACAACAATGTCAGTTACATTCTTTAAATGTAACTACATATATATCAAAATATTTTTGCGGATCAACAGACGTGAAGTACCTGAATGTTATTTAGAAGTAATAAACTAAAGGAAAGGTAGCTAGTCAATCCCACCCACCGCCAACTCTTGGGCTACTCTAATAGTGGGAATTACCGTCATATCCATTGGCATCCTGCAAAAACCGAGCTTTTTCATAATATTATCAAACTTCATGTTTACATCATATAAGTAGAAGTGACTAACTTTTAAAGCCATAGTTCTCAAATTATTTTGGTTCAGAACCCATTGATGGCCAGTCGCGAGCTGCTAAATAGCTTTAGCGCAAAAAAAAAAATCTGGACAGCTAAATGCTTACTAAATAGTTTGGTTGTTTGTAGTTAGGCACAAAGCTACACAACGGGCTATCTGTGCTCTGCCCACCACAGGTATTGAAACCCGGTTTCTAGCGTTGTAAATCCACAAACATACCGCTGTGCCACTGGGGGGGGGGAGGCTTACTAAATAAGTAAACTGTTATGTATTTTCAAAGTCTGTTCGCGAACCATTTACATATCCTGATGACTCACTTTTTGAGTTGCGACCCTTGGATAAAGAAACACTGGTTTAGAATATTTTGATATTGAAAATTTCGGTTTTTACAATAAGGAGTTGAAAGTTCTTTACCATTAAAACATATGTACTTGAGAATGATCGCACCAGTAATCAAAACATTGTACCAGTTTCAAACATATTTTCCTTACTGTAAAAACTGTAACTTGTAATAAAATAATACTTATAATCAGTAAATAAGTTTTAGAGTGTCGACACCAATGCGATTCGTTCGGTTTGTTTGTTTGGAATTAAGCACAAAGCTACACAATGAGCTATCTATACTCTGTCCACCACGGGTATCGAAACCCGGTTTCTAACGTTGTAAGTCCGCAGACATACCACTGTGCCACTGGGGGGGGGGCGATTCGTTCGGAGAAATGTTTATACGGGAATGTATAACTTACAAGACTGATAATCATCCCAAAAATCATTGTTTTGGTGCACGGATGGAGCTGATTAAAACGAAGAACGTCCGTAAAAAGGGTTAATATGAATGTTTGACAAAACTTTTTCTTTGCTTCTTATGCATTTAAATTCACTGCGTTAGGTAGGATCAGTGTTTCCCAAAGTGGGAGCCGCGGCCCCCCTGGGGGCCTTGATGCTTTTTCTGAAGGGCCGCCAAAAATGGACCGAAAACAAAGATGCTAAATTAATTTTAATTCCAAGTAAAGAATAAGCCGATAAACATTTTGTTGAATTAATTAAATTATACAGTAGGCCGAAAGGAGACGTTGTTGTTTTTACTATGACACTGTTTTTCAATCACCATGCTAAAGTTACAGGTTGGGGCGGCCTCAAACTTTTTTATTCACACCAAGGGACCCTCAGACTGAAAGAGTTTGGGAACCACTGGGTAGGATCACCAACTTTCAAAAACCGCTGAGAAAAAACTTTGCGATCATTTCTTCGCTAGAGGCGATTCTCTGCATGGAATGGTTCCTGTTTTTAGTTTCCTTGTGAATTACTTCTAGTGAAATACCGTAAAAATGAACGCTAAAAAAAAAGTTGTATGTATGTGATTGCTACTGCAAAAGCCTCGTGGATCCCACTTCTAGTGCACCCTTTTTTGGCGACGTCCGAATTTTACTCACTTAAACGCGTCTAACTGTTCATTAAATTTCACACAAAGCTACACGAGTGCGATCTGCGCTAGCCGTCTTTAATTTGGCAGTGATAGATTAGAAGGAAGGCAACTTATCAACATCACCCTCCGCCAAATCTTGGGCTACTCTAATCAAAAGTTGGATTGAACGTCACATTATAACGCCCCCTCCCCCCGGCTGAAAAAGGAAACATATTCGGTGAGGATATTCGAACCCGCGTCCCGCAGCTTGCGAGTTAGTGCCCGTATCATCAAAGTCTACGGTGACGTACAAAATTGTTTTCTGTGCATTAATGTTCAATTATTGATGTTTCACATTCCTTTAATGTTATCGTCATATTAATAATACATGAGACTATTTTGTATTTTAATGTAATATTTTAAGAAATCGTTTTTGTTTTTTTCTGCTAGGTGTGGCTATGGATGTTCTTTTCCTTATTTTTGGTCAGCATGTTAATTTATGCTGTCAACCGACAAGTTCACCACGTGACGATACCTTATCCTCAATATACTGCTCAACTGTTCAGTCAATGGTATCGACCTCTGTGGTATAACATAGGTGCCCTTCTCCAACAAGGTAAGCTGTGGGCTATACTTAAAACGACAGGGCAACCACAGCTTATTCATTAGACGTGAAGTTATTACACAGTTGCAATCTGATAATTTATTTACTTTTCCGAATGCCCTTTTACCAGTCTTTTGTGATTAAGAAATGGACATTTACGTTTAGATACAGTAATGTCTATTAGGGTACAACGCGATTTCTATACATGCGCATAAGTGGCTATAATGGAAGGTCTTTTGTGATTACGAAATGTAAATTCACGTTTAGATACAGTAATGTCTATAAGGGTACAACACGATTTCTATACATGCGCATAAGTGGCTATAATGGAAGGTCTTTTGTGATTACGAAATGTAAATTCACGTTTAGATACAGTAATGTCTATTAGGGTACAACACGGTTTCTTTACATGCCCATAAGTGGCTGTAACCGTTTCCGAATTTATCAATAAATATAGAAATTACTGCCTTTGTCAAGCAGATATATTTGTACTTTCATTTAGACTTTTATAGTTTTCAAATGAATATTTTAATACAACATTATATTATGTCACACTAAAATAAATTAATACCAAATAACTATGCGTCAATTCACGACATTATACTGGGAAGTCCAAAAAGATTTAATAATTATATTACTAAGGAAATATGACCATGCAGTTTTAAACATCTTGTACCCAAACTCAAGCAGTTTTTATTGTCATGTTTTGTTGTTTTTTTATTATCGCTCCAGTGGGCAGCGTTACCCCGTAAAATGGCAACCGTGCAAGAAAAGGCACAATGTGTCGTTTGGCTTGCAGAGATCAAGCCAGTAACTGTGGTACAGCGTAATTACAGACTCCAATACAGGAAAGAAGTATAGGGGTATGTTAAGGATATCGTATATCGCACACCTATAGCAAGCATCACGGAGCTAAAGACTAGGATAACGGACGTCATCGCCACTGTAATTGTGGACATGTTGCAGCGAACGTGAACTGAAACTGAATATCGGTTAGACGCGCGGAGAGCTTCTAATGGTGCAAAACTAGAAGTCTACTGACATATCCATAAAAACTGTTTGAGTTGGACTACTAAAAAGTTGAAAACAGCATGGTTGTATTTCCTTACTTAGTTAATTATTCAATTTTAAAATAGGAAAGATAATTCTGAACCACCCTGTACCTAACATTAATAAAACAAAGGATTTCATGCTTTACTTTCCAAGGTTAAGTCTATGGGAAAACACTAAAGCAGTTTTCAGATCCATGTTTTGTAGCTTATGAAACTGATCACCATTACGACATCATGAACACTTTATTCTCTACATAGGTGGATTTATGCCCTTACTACATTCATCGCGGATTTTGCTGATGGCTTGGCTATTGGTGGTTTTAGTGGTCATGAATCTTTACAAAGGGACTTTAATAGCCTTTCTGACGATTCCTAAGACGTATAAATTCGCCGACAGTTTGGAAGAACTTGCCTCACAAAATATGATCAAGTGGACCTTTTTGAAGAACACGGCCTATGAGGCATTGTTTAGTAAGGTAAGAAGTGAAGAAAACAAACAAATTAGAACTAGATGCTACATTAGGTGGGAAATAACTAAAACCCATTTGTACACAATAATACAAAAACTAACGTATTCATATTATTCAATAAAAAATTATTCAAATTACGTTTTCACAGAGAAAACAATATATAATACTGGCTAGAAACACCAGTGAACTTTTGCAGGATATCACAGTCGAATTCAGCTTTTGATGTCAGTACGTTTCACATGATTCAATTAAAAGCTATGCTTTACAAAGATTTTGGGTATATTACAGAGTTTATTACAGGTTTTAGACAGTATATGAGTTTGCGATACTATCTTTTCTGTTAAGGCCTGTAATTTGAAAGTTTTCGATGACTTTTGTGTGTGTGTGTGTAATTGGCTAATTACAGAAGTTTAACACCATAGTACATTCATTGAAGTCTGAGACAGTAAATCTGTTCTGACTTCACACGAAACTCTAATGAAATGTTAAGTAGGTAATACACTTTTTTGCTATTTAATAAAAACAGCAAAAATGCAAAATAATATTCTTGACTTTCTGTTTTACACAGTAATATATCAACGGTGTGTTACTTGCGAAGCGCATTTCCTTTTCTCGGGTGTAGTTCACATTTGAAGCTACTTAAAAACTATTGAAGTCACACGCAAATAAGCTGTGGTATATTTGATATTTTTTGGTATATATTTAAAATTTTAATGGATTCTCGTTGTTTGTTAACTTCTTAAAAATACTTGAAATTAATGGTACGTTTTTCTTTTGATTTTCTACAAATAAACAGTTCATAGGCCTTTTTATTCTGATTTAAAAACAATTTTTTTAACATCTAAAAACATTCACACGAGATCAGAAAAAAAAAAACTATAACCTTCTAAGTTGATGGATCTCGTTAATATAAAATAATAGCATTTCCACTTATTTTTTTTTTCATCTCTTATAAGGTAAAGAATAATTACTCAATGAATATTCTTTGTCATAAATATCAAGTCATACTTCGGCTTCTTCTGATACATCTGTATAGAGTACTTTCAGATTTATATACATAATTAATTTCTATTTTACGCATTCACTATCAATGCATTATTCATGCCAGTTTTGTAAAAATAATAAATTTCATTGAATATGAAATATATATGTGTGTTTATGGTTTGTTTGCTTTTGAGCGTAAAGTTACAAAATGGGTTATATACGTTATGCCCATGCAGGTGTCGAAACCCGATTTTTATCGTTATAGGCTCTCAGACATACTGCCGAGCCACGGTAAGGATATATATATATATTTCCATTTAAAAAAACTATTGCCCCATTTATGTAAAGCAAAAGACAAAGAGCTTGACGTGACGTAGTGGTTAGTGTTCTTGTACTGTGAATCCTAGAGTTCAAGGTTCCCAACCCGTTGCCGTATAAACGCACTCTGCACATTGTGGCTATGGTTGCACATAAAAGTAAGAATCAAATGCTTCAGTTCGATTAGACAAGAATAACCCAAGTGTTGGCGGACGTTACCGTTGACTAGCTACTTTACCTCTAATTTATTAGCTCATATTTATGGACGGCCATGCGCAGATAGTCCTTGTGTAGATTTGTGTGCCATTCTGAAACAAACAAATAGAGCACAAGAGTTAAGTGTAACTGTTAACACTAAATGTTCAGTATTTGCTATAAGCGTTTTAACTCTTCAACCAGTTTTTTTTATTTCATGCAATGTCAAGTGTTTTCTTTCTCTCTCACTCTACACCTAATCATTATTATTGTATCTTTATACATATTTCTAATGAGCAGATTATAGTCGCCCAAATACCCAGATTTAAAGGAAACGATGTGAATATTCATTATTTAATTAAAGTTAAATGAAGTTTAATGACTTATGTATATTAAACGAGTAAAGTCTGCAGCCAGTAAAGAGGAAATTTGCATGAAATAGAAACGAGGTTAATCAAATTCAAATCTGAACGAAACGGATGAAAGAGAGAAATTATTTTAACCTGAACGACGTAGGAATAGTAATTAAAACCTTGTGGCTTCATAATATACAGGAAATGCAATTCCTAGCGTTATAGGGTGACAAGTAACTTGCATAAAAGTTAAAATAAAAGCACCACTGATGAATAAATGTCGTGACAAGATTTTACGAGTAATCCGATAAATTCTTTGGAAAGGCAGAACACCTACAGGTCTTTCCATCTATTGAAACCAGTAGCTACTGCTGTTAATCCATCATAATAGCCGATTATTATACAGTCAACTATTTCATTGGTAACAAATAACTCAACCAGTATTTCCTGGGTGACAACTCAACCGGTATTTCCTGTGCAACAAATAAACGACTTTAATTCCTAAAGGAATCATTACCACGTAATTTTAAACTGGAAAACTTTTTCTATGAAATCAAGAAAAACTTTCGACATATGTGATTAAAAACAACTAAAAAGTCAGATTTTCTTTTATTGAAGCTTGCTTTGTGTACATATTTCATACATTCTCGTGAATGTAATTAAAACTCGTATGAAACTTCAATATTGATAAAGCAGAATCACATCAACTTAATCAACTATTAATATAATATTTTTAATAGAATACAGAAAATTAATCGTGCTTTATAAGATTGATTTGCTAGGTTCATTTAGTGTCGTATAGCCGCTAATGTGAACATGCTGATAGTTTAACACCATTTTATTTGGTTCATGACACATTCCCAACCATCTGACGAACAATACCACTACATGAGCACGTGATTGAAGAAATACGTCACAGTTCTTTCCCACAAGTGCCATTTGAATGGTGAAATTGTCAAAAGATGTAGAGCCAAGGACATATCAATCTGAAGTTGAGACTTTAATATTTCCTTTGGTAAACTCGAACAATAGAGCTTTTAATGCAGAAATGGGTTCCGAAACTACATGGCAAGCCAATAAGGCGTGTTACCATCATTCGCAAATCGAAGACTATAGTTACGAAAGAGAATATCCAACCCTAAAAGCCAGTGCAATGAAAATGGGCTTATCTCGAGGATTACCATGACTAGATGATAATAAAATGATTTTAAAATGAGGAACGTTCACAAGCCAAAAGTTCATTAACTTCAAGCCATAGCTGTTTCAATGAGAAAGATGGCAGAAGAAACTGGAACAGAGGAATCCTCTTCAACCACATTGTTATCAAGTCTCCTTATGTAATACCAATGGATTTTTGTTACTTTAGTTTGCTTAAAAACATGGTCGTGAAAGTCGACATCCATGCACAACGGAGGGTCTATGGAAGGTTTTACAATATATAAGTTATAGCATCGAGGTTGTTATCCTTTGAACAAACTTGTTACAATTAAAACTGAGTAATTATGGCCATTAGGCTATAATGGAGGAACTCCAAAGTCAACACAGTACCTGAAACATCGTTCTTATAAAGTGCGGTCAACATTTTGTATTTCAAATATACAGTTTCTTATAAGCTTAAGTGTATATATTAAGACTGTAAAATGCAATTGGTTCCATTTTCTAATGTTGTATACATCATTAAACCTAAACTCAGTAATAATCGATAGCCTAGTAAAACGCGTTGTATACATCATTAAACCTACACTCAGTAATAATCGATAGCCTAGTAAAAGGCGAACTCTATTAAGTGTACAATAGACAAATTATTGAACTAAATATTACTCTTTCGATTACCATAAAACGTTTGGGACCATTTTTTTAAATTTAATAATGAGAGAATTTTTCACTATAATTATGAATTGTGTTATCTTCTTCCTAATAATTTGGATAATTGGTCACATTTCTACCAAAGTAGAAGTTTGTTTGTTGTTTTATTTAGAGCAAAACCATATTGGGCTATCTGCTGTGTCCACCGCAGGGAATCTAACCCCGGATTTTAGCGTTCCAAGTCCGTCGACTTAACTCTGTCTCATCGGGAGATCCAAAGAAGACAACATTCAGGACGAGTATTACAGTTGGATAGTAATATACCTTAACAATTGCAGGTAACTGTTGCCGAGAGTAATGCTGCAGACATAAACTCTATTGGCATTAGCGCAAAATAGAAAAGATAATTTCACGTGTTCACCGGTACGCTTAAAAGCTTATAACCCCAAAATCCTGTATATGATTTCGGAGATGGACAAAACGCAAATAGCCCATTGTGTAGTTTTGCGCTAAAACAAAAGGATCTTCACGTATTCTATTTAAAACGGCTTTTACTTGCAGAATTCTGATTCAGAGGTAATGAGGAAAATTGGAAAGCCGTTCGATGAAAACCCAGATGAATTTGTCAGTACTTCTAGAGAAGGAGTAGAGAGAGTTTTAACTGGGAAATACGCTTTTATCAAAGAAAAGTCTTATCTGGAAGCATCAATTGAAGAAGACTTTCAGCTATCAGGACAGTGTCGATTTTCTCTTGCAAGGGAAGAGTTTTATCCAGTTGGATATGGCTTAGCTCTACAATCCAACTCGCCCTTTCTGGAACTTTTCAATTTGTTGTAAGTAAAAATAAATAACTTATTATTTTGTACGATATAATATTTAATTTAATTAAGCAATCCTCGCTTAAAACAAACACAAAAGTTTATTATTAACTTATTTTGTTTCAATTCGGTTAATCTATTTATAAAGCTCTATGTAGGATATATAAATATTAATATATTTAAACTTCTTGTTATCAACAACTCAAGCTGCCCGTTCATCTAACTAACTATTTATTTTTCTGTCTGTCAACTTATCCTTTTCTTACATTGAAAATGAATTAAAATAGCCAGTTATATACATATGTATATTGTTCATTAAACAATTCTATTTTGGCAAAAACAATTTTTCAGTATTACGATAATCTAATTTGTTGCCTATATTAAAATTAATCTTATCTAATGCGTTCTTTGTGTAATTTTTGCACTGTTAGGGTTAATAGTCAATTTTAAGTTTAAAATTACAGAGATATGAAATTAGAGTATCATATATATCATATTAAGTGGATATTAAACATTAATAATACTAAGTATGATCTTAACAATGTTTATGTTTACTTTACAGAATGCGAAGAATGATACAGGCAGGTCTACTGGTTAAATGGCACAAGGACTACTTTGACATCAACAACGACTGTACATCTTTGTCTCAGCCTAAACTAGGCGAACATTCCCTCACCTTGATTGACTTACAAGGAAGTTTCGCTCTCCTAGGAATTGGCTTGAGTTTGAGTGTCTCTGCGTTTTTACTGGAAGTTTTCTGTTACTGGATAAGGAAGAAAAACTGCCTCAGATGATTTTAAAGCCCTGACTAAAATGTTGTGCGATAGTTTTCATTGACATTGTAGTGATAGACAGTGATAAATGTAATAAATATGTAGTGTCCATAAGTACGGCAACGTCGACACAAATCTACCACAAGTAAACATTAGGAAGGACTAGATTAGGATCAGATTGTGTATAGAAACATTAGGAAATATTCAATTTGGAATAATTTATGTATAGAAACATTAGGAAATATTCAATTTGGAATAAATTTATGTATAGAAACATTAGGAAATATTTAATTTGGAATAATATATGTATAGAAACATTAGAAAGGATTATGTTTGGAACAATTTATGTATAGAAACATTAGAAAGGATTATGTTTGGGACAGTTTATACGTAGAAACATTAGGAAGGATTAGATTTGGATGAACTTATATATAGGAACATTAGGAAGGATTACACTTTGGAACAATTTATAGATAAAAACTTTAGGAATAATTACATTTGGAACAATTTATATATAGAAACATTAGAAATGATTACATTTGGATCCATTTATATATAGAAGCATTAGGAAGGATTATATTCAGATTAAATATATATTTATTTATAGAGAGAGTGAGAGAAACATTAGAAAGGACTATATTGTAATGAATTTAGATAAACATACATTAGGAAAAATTACATTGGGATCAACTTGTATATAGAAACATTAGGAAGGATTACATTGGGATAAATGTTATTTAGAAACATTAGAAAGGACTGCATTTGGATTAATTTATATATAGAAACATTATAAAGAACAACATTTGGATCAATGTATATATATATAGGAACATTAAGAAAGATTACGTTCGGATCATCTTAAGTACAAAAACATAACGAAAACATGTTTGGATTTATTATCAAAAAGAGGTTTTTAACTCAATTGAAACCCTGGGTAAGGAAAAGAAAGTTGCGTATTTAACAAGCATGTCAGAGATTATATTTTGTTCCTTTAAAATGTAATTGAATAAATTGAATAAAAGTAAAAAGACTTTCGTCAAACTTTCCAAAAAGAAGATATCCAATGTCTAACAAGAGGGAATCCACAGTAGCCGCAGCTGTAATTAAATCTAAAATCGGGCAAAAAATAAAGCTATGAGCTAAAAGTTTGTACTTGAAAAAAAAAAGTTAGAGCCGCTACGCCGCGGCTAAAAAATTGTCTTGCTAAAAATAATAGAGATCTAATCATTCGTGAAAAGAATTACAAAATTGTTCTTCAAATGCTTTTGTTTGAACAATATAAATGTGAACCTAAATTCAATCGATTTAACCCGTAAAACTATATATATACTTAAACAAACTTCACGGTAGACTCACGTTTTCCTCGCTTTATATTTTGTCGTTAAAATAAGAAGGACACGAAAACTCAGTTTTAGTTAGAAATTAAATAAGGTTTTCAAATGAAATAAAATATTTTAATGAAATGAATACTAAATTCGTCAAATCTGAGCACTTTATCGATAATAAAAAAAATGTCAAAGAACTCGCAGATTAGCATATCCAAAATATTGCAAAGATAAAATAAGCAAAGGTAACATGGCAGTGATTTTGTTGAGGCACGATCACGCTGCTGTCACAACTGATAGAAATATAATCTTGATGCATACAAGAGACAATTTATTGCTATTCAGAACCGGTATTTTCTTTTTCAGACAAAATGAACAGACTTTAAGCATATGTTTTCTAAGTTGATCTCATTTGCAGATACAGAAACACGTTTTTTGTTTTCATGAATGATTGATAAAGCCGTTCCTAATTTTGAAGTGATAGACTAGAGGAAAGGAAACTAGATAACAGCACCCACCGCTAACTTTTGGCCCACTCCTGTCAAACAAATAAGTGGGTTTTGACCATCACTTTTATAACACAACAACCATGGACCTAAAGTGTTTTCCGGTAACGAAATGCAATCCATGGAATATAAGCTCTACAGTGTGGTACGCTAACCATTGGAACAGCTGTCATAAAGTTGACTGTGGTAGTATTGTATCTAAACTTATTATATCTCATTTATTTTTTACTTTTTCATTGAAGAATAATGATTGAAAAGAGTGTCCTTTGAAATTAAACTCACTTTACTGCAGAAAGTATGTTAACAATATATTTACTATCTTTGAATCACAAAGCCATGTTGAAGATTTTTCAACTTGACACTTGACTGTGAAGAAAAATCTAGTGTGCCATTTGTGAATAATTTGATATGTAACCAACAAGGTAATTTTGAAGTAGATGTATATCGTAAACCAATTATGGTATGCAGACACACCGTTCGTTTTCTATCCTCTTTATTGATACGTAATTTTTTTTAATGTTTATGTATACAGAATGTGTTTAGCTTCTAATATAGAAAGACAATTAATTGAACTAAGTTTTTCTCACCCTAGTTACACATGGAAATGGGTCACACAACTAGGGTGTCATACCAACTGCCTAAAATTATTCTTAAAATAATGTTTGTTTATTACCTTGTACTGTGCTTTAGGATTCACTTTTTGTTGTGATATTGGTCTTTGCACGAAGAAAACAACAACGACTTCTTGATTAGTTAAACAAATTTCTTGGAAACTCCTTAATTAGCTAAATAATTTTCTCACAAACTTTCCCAAGACATTTGTCTTGCGATGGCTCACAGTAAGCCTGGGGCTTGTATCACTACGATTATGGATCTCCGTGTCGGATAAAGCGCAAAAACCTATTAGAGAACTATGCTCTAAAATAAACAAACCTGAATTAATTAAGTAACACTGGCATTTCTACAGAATATGATCAGTTTAAAAAACATACTTTTTGCTGTCGTTTCTCAAATCGTTAACACTTCTAATTCTTGCCTTCAAACAAAGTCAGCCCGATATGGTCAGGTGGTTAGGGAGCTCTACTCGCAATCTGCGGGTCGCGGGTTCGAATCCCACCAAACATGCTCGCCCTTTCAGCCGTAGAGGCGTTATAATATGACGGTCAATCTCACTATTCATTGGTAAAAGAGTAGCCCAAGAGTTGGTGGTGATGACTAACTGCCTTTCCTCTAGTTTTACACTGCTAAATTAGAGACGGCAAGCGCAAATAGCCCTAGCGTAGCTTTGCGCGAAATTCAAGAAACAAACAAAAAAGTCCATATAAATTTCATTTAGAAGCGAGTAATACGCTTCAACTATTTCTAGAATGTTTTCACTGTGTGTTTGTGCGTATGGGTATAAAAATGAGATTAATAAATCCCGCTAAGGTGGCACTTATTTTTCTGCTACAGGGTAGGCTAAAAAAGCTATAATAAAATAGAAAATTGATAAGCTTTTTATCTAACCACATTTTCAGTTAGACCTGCAATAAGAAAAGCGCTTCTAAACCGCCACTAAAAGTACATTACAATTTTGTAAATAGATTATTATTCACCACTAACACCTTCCTTTAAGTAAAACTCTTGACATGCTTACAAAATGTGTTACCAAACTTTATAACTATATGAAGACTAACGAACATTTCCAGTTTAATGTTTCATCTAACACTTAAGTACAGACTGATTTTCGTACACATCTTACATTTTGTATTTGTAATAAACTATGGCGCTTGTCTGACTCTTACTTTGTGTGTGGTTTCTGCACTTTTATAGATATTGTACTGGTTGGCACTGTCTGATTGGTTGAGTGACAACCAGTCGCAGTGCAAACTATCAAAACTTGGTTGTACTTTTGTGTAATTAAGTTTCATACAACAGAGTGGAAGAAATCTCATAATATTTGCATTTTCACCCATTTTATTAATTATTTTCATAATTATTTACAATTTCCAATAATGCATGTCCCTTTAGAAACAACGTTACTATTGAACTTTTAAATTGTTTTTAAAAATCTTATTGGTGATGGTGGGTTTTAGTGTAAAGCTACACAATGGACTATCTGTGTTCTGTTCCACCGCGGTGAATCGAACCATGGATTATTGGATCGTAAGTTCGGAAACTTACCGCTGGCCCACCGAGAAACGTTTTTAAAGAGTTTGAACTTTCAATATCATGGCCAGGTCAGAGACCCCCTAGGTGGAGCCTTATCTAATTTTGATATTATGGCCAGAGGAAAGTAGGCAGACAATCAATAGCACCGGCCGCCATAAGAACTCTGTCTGTCTCTTTAAGACGAATATAAAGATTTGCTGTTCCGTTTATAAGACATTTACTGCTGAAAGTGTGGAGGTGTCTAGCGGCATCACGTCTCGAACCTCTGACACAATGAACCGCGGCTCGACACGCCAACCATTACTCCACCCTCAAACATGAAGCGTTTAAAGCATAAGATCTCGTTTTCGTATTGCAAAGGTACTGAAGTCTAACGTTTTTGGTTTTGTTCTTTTAGCCTGTGAGGCTTACGTCTCTCAATCGATACCTCCTTGTGAAACAAAACAACGACGAAACCTGCGCGCCTTTGATAACTAAGCGCTTTTCGAAATGTATGGGGCTCAATCAATGCTTGCTTATTAGGCTTTGTTTCTTTCTTTAATGAAGATGTGTTAGAATTTTCTTAACTCCTAACCGAAACACATATCAAAAATGAGCCCAACAAGTCTTGGATGGTGTTTTTTTGTAGTTATTACTTTAACTCAGACTGTTGATGTCAAACCATTTAATCTGGGTGAGGTTACAGTTTCAGAATTATTTATTAGTTTTATAATATTAATATATATGCTCACGTGCATTATTTTCGAGTTTGAAAAACTAAGAGTGTACCTAGTATCTATTCGTCTGTTTTTAAGTTTTGATAACTGTAGAACTGTGACTTTTCATATGTGTAATACTTTTTCAATATGTTAGTTCATTTCCTACTTACGTGTACATGTTTAGGATCTTTAAGATTTAACAAGTGTATGTGCGTTCACATATGTTTTTTCTTCAAAGTTTTAACAATTACTTTTCTCTACTTTACTTAGTCTAAGAAGTCTAATTAATATAACTGTGG